TAAATTATAATTAATATTAATTTATTATATTAAATTATTAAATTATTCACAATAACGTAATTATTTCTACGAATCACATATCGAAATTAATATTTGAAACAAGAAACTAAAATGCACATACTCACTGCCTAAATTATAATTAATATTAATTTATTAATATTAAATATTAAATTATTCACAATAACGTAATTATTTCTACGAATCACATATCGAAATTAATATTTGAAACAAGAAACTAAAATGCACAATCTCACATACTCACTGCATATCACTCATACTCATATATCCATCCAGAGAATCCAAATCAATCCAGACTGATGAATGAGACTGTGCATCTGCTATCCGCGTCCGCGTATTTTCCGCCCGATCCGCCGATGATAAAATCGGTCATGTGACAAGTGACAAGAAGTGGGGGTCCCTGACATCCACATGCTACATTTAGCAAAGCTTATAGCTTATACCTGTTCATATTCTGAAAATGAAACGATCCGCAATCCTACTAATACTAAATATTAATTATGTGCAAGTGTTGAAACCATCAAAAGTATAAGTTTTATCGTATTGATATAGTGAGAGAAAACACACATCGATTTCGATCTTATAACCTTAACTACTTAACCTAAGGAATTGCGGAAAAGAATCCGAGGGCAAGCAGCGCATTCTAAACGAAATAACAACACGATGTCTTTGCGTTTATGTAAGATTTTATCTCTATCAATATTCTTTGTATTCCTCATTAACAATAGATCATTCAATTACGGGATTGCACATATAATGGTAGTTACAATTTTTGCCAATACGATTAATCTGTTCTGTATAACTGATGATAGTAACGTTAAGAAGTAAAGTAACATTTATTATGACAACATGGAGCAAGTATATTTATGTGATTCTAGATTCATTCGTGAGAAGAATACAGAAAACTCATGGCAGAAAATTTAGCACAGCTGTGGAAGTAAAAGATGAGCATACAAGTCAAGTATGCTCATTTCGCACAGCTGAAAACAATCCAGTTAATCATAATGCAGACCACCTCGCCAGATTATATACAGTACCGATAGATATTCAACAGCAAATCTTTGAGTATGGCGGCATACCTAAAATATTTATGAAACAAGTCACCACATTTCAAGAATGCTCGATAATGGTCAGGCAACCTGCGATTGAGATTATATCTTACCTCAATCAGACTGACTATACAAGGCCTGTTAATAAATATGTGTTATGTATCCTTTGAAAAACATGCATAGAGATAAACAATAATATAACTTTATGGTGTAACATTAGGGAGTAGTTCTCTCTATTCGTTTTCTTTTTATCTTTTATAATTTCAGTGGTTATATCAGTTTTACAGATTTTATATACATATTACAAAGAACTATAAATATTTTGTAACAAATTTTTGGGCTTAACATAAAAAGAAAACCTTAACAGTATTATAAATAGATGGAAAGATTGGAGTAGGAAAAAGTATTACATTAAGTCATATATTGCACTATGCCTTTATGCAGAGATATGTGCTTGTTCATATATATTGGGGTATGTTATTGTTAAAAGTAAATGATATATTATAGTTCATCTTGGTGTGTTGCTGTTATTATAATTGCTGTGTATTCTTCAGCTGCACATTGGTTTAAGGATACAAAGGAAGTCGCGACGTCAGTGCTGTCCCCAGGCTGCATGGATCTACCGATTGATGCTGGATTGTGGTTGAAACATTTCAAATCTCAAAATTCAAAACTGCTTTCGCAATTGGATGTACGTGTATTCTGAGACATCATTTTGTCGGTTATGCTAATCGTATATTCGTTTTACAGCTGAAAACGTCGAAAGATTATGTGTGGAACCAACGCGAAACGACTTTGCAAGGTACACCTATCTTGGAACTCGTAGAGTTTGGCTTGAATCGCATCAAGTACGCTTGTGGCGTAGTAGACGCGCTTATAAGAGAATTGAAACTCGCTAGTACAGCCGGAAAGTGTAAGACAATAGTCATGATAGATGGATTCAATGCGTTTACATCGAGTCATACGCGTATCCGCGATGATAATAAAGCGATGGTTCTGCCTAAGCAAGTATCATTGGCGATACCGTTTTTTGATATCACGAAAAGTGATTGGTGTAATGGTGCAGTCGTAATAACAGTAGACCAAACGGCAAATAAGGTATGTATAATAATGCATCGAGGAATTGTATATATAGTTCTTTATTCGAATAAAAATATGAAAAATATTTAAATATCAAAATACAGATTTGGAAGATTACATTTAAATAATAATGCAGGTTAAAATTTTTATTTTCAGGATAGACGAGAATCCTACTTTCCTAGATATCTGCTTGGCAAAGAAGGCTTCGAGCACTTGGATCCTTTTGTACCCGTTTTAGTTGATGATTACAACATCGCAGAATTCGATAGCATGATAGAGTATTATAAGGATCGCAAATGGATCAGGAACATAACAGCTAGTAGTCAGAGAGAATTAGAACTAATCACTAATAGAAATCCGTTCGTTTTAATGGATCAATGTAAATTTTTATAAAGGTAATTGTTTGAACATGGATATAATTATAATAAAGCTTTTAGCACTTTTTTTGATTTTTACTAAAATTATAAAACTATTTCCAATCTTATTTTAGATCTTATGGGGTAATTGGAAGATTTTTAAGCAAAAAATATTTTTTTTTGTGTCCGTTTATTAACATAAAATGCAATTAGTAGTAATACAATATATTAGTAAATGTGTTATGTATCCTTTGAAAAACATGCATAGAGATAAACAATAATATAACTTTATGGTGTAACATTAGGGAGTAGTTCTCTCTATTCGTTTTCTTTTTATCTTTTATAATTTCAGTGGTTATATCAGTTTTACAGATTTTATATACATATTACAAAGAACTATAAATATTTTGTAACAAATTTTTGGGCTTAACATAAAAAGAAAACCTTAACAGTATTATAAATAGATGGAAAGATTGGAGTAGGAAAAAGTATTACATTAAGTCATATATTGCACTATGCCTTTATGCAGAGATATGTGCTTGTTCATATATATTGGGGTATGTTATTGTTAAAAGTAAATGATATATTATAGTTCATCTTGGTGTGTTGCTGTTATTATAATTGCTGTGTATTCTTCAGCTGCACATTGGTTTAAGGATACAAAGGAAGTCGCGACGTCAGTGCTGTCCCCAGGCTGCATGGATCTACCGATTGATGCTGGATTGTGGTTGAAACATTTCAAATCTCAAAATTCAAAACTGCTTTCGCAATTGGATGTACGTGTATTCTGAGACATCATTTTGTCGGTTATGCTAATCGTATATTCGTTTTACAGCTGAAAACGTCGAAAGATTATGTGTGGAACCAACGCGAAACGACTTTGCAAGGTACACCTATCTTGGAACTCGTAGAGTTTGGCTTGAATCGCATCAAGTACGCTTGTGGCGTAGTAGACGCGCTTATAAGAGAATTGAAACTCGCTAGTACAGCCGGAAAGTGTAAGACAATAGTCATGATAGATGGATTCAATGCGTTTACATCGAGTCATACGCGTATCCGCGATGATAATAAAGCGATGGTTCTGCCTAAGCAAGTATCATTGGCGATACCGTTTTTTGATATCACGAAAAGTGATTGGTGTAATGGTGCAGTCGTAATAACAGTAGACCAAACGGCAAATAAGGTATGTATAATAATGCATCGAGGAATTGTATATATAGTTCTTTATTCAAATAAAAATATGAAAAATATTTAAATATCAAAATACAGATTTGGAAGATTACATTTAAATAATAATGCAGGTTAAAATTTTTATTTTCAGGATAGACGAGAATCCTACTTTCCTAGATATCTGCTTGGCAAAGAAGGCTTCGAGCACTTGGATCCTTTTGTACCCGTTTTAGTTGATGATTACAACATCGCAGAATTCGATAGCATGATAGAGTATTATAAGGATCGCAAATGGATCAGGAACATAACAGCTAGTAGTCAGAGAGAATTAGAACTAATCACTAATAGAAATCCGTTCGTTTTAATGGATCAATGTAAATTTTTATAAAGGTAATTGTTTGAACATGGATATAATTATAATAAAGCTTTTAGCACTTTTTTTGATTTTTACTAAAATTATAAAACTATTTCCAATCTTATTTTAGATCTTATGGGGTAATTGGAAGATTTTTAAGCAAAAAATATTTTTTTTTTGTGTCAGTTTATTAACATAAAATGCAATTAGTAGTAATACAATATATTAGTAATAATATGTAATATGAGACACAGTCACCATTAAAGTATTTATTTTAATATATATATAATATAAAAAGAAGTTATAACGTTATAATATATATAAAGCAATATATATACATATATATATATTGCTCAAATTCTTTAAAATAAAATTGCTCAGTATGTGAGTGCATCATAAATTTAGCAATAAAAAAAAAACATGAAACAAAATAATTTAATTTTCCAAAATAAAATTATGTGCATTAACTTAAATAATATAAAATAAATTTAACATAAAGAGTGTGTTATTAAAGAATAATATTAGTAACAAACTATCATCAGCTATCGATTATGTTAATAGTTACCTTTGCCACTCATTATTGCACATAAACTATCATCAACTAAAATTTTAGCTTTGTTTTTTTTAATGATGGCGTACCGGATGTAATACATCTAGTGCCTTGCCGATGTCTCCATCTTTTGAAACAAGCAAATGAGTGAGCCATCCACCCTCATTGGAGAATCCCATCGCCATCATCGCTGTTACAGCTTCTTGGATCTTGGGATTTGGATGATAGAACTCATTCTTTACTTCTTTAGGTAAGGATGGGTAGATGTTCTGCTTTGGAGGCTCTGTTTTCTCTGGTTCTGCCGCAGTTGCTGCTGGCGCGGATGGTGTAATCTGTATAATAAGGTATTCTGAACACGTGATACATATAACACAATATATAATATAATAACATATTTTTTTGTCACTATTTCTTCAGATATATATATGTATGTATGTATATATAAAATTATATATATTTCTCTTAATGCTTTTCTCTTTAATTCTGTAATTGTGTAGTTTTATTTAAAAGTAATATTGATTATATATTTTATGTTTTCTGTATTATATTTTTTAATTACATTTTTGAATAATTCAACATGTTTCTATATATTATTATGATTTTTTTTATATATATGCGAAGTGTACCTGTTTAGCTGTAGCCTCATTCAATGAGGATGAAGTAGAAGGTGTGCGGCTGATGTTGTGGTTCTCATTCTGAGGTTGCACTATCGTCCATTCCTCGGCTTCGGCCGCTTGTTCGGCACAAGTTGCTGTTGGCTTCTTCTGTGCTGATGTCACATCTGTGCTCGTCGAAGAAGCAGTTTTCTCACCTGTGGTACTTGCGGTTTCACTATGCAATTTCTTTCCTTCACCTGGGAATTTCTTAGTAGAATCCTCCGATGAAGATGCACCATTTTCGGGTTTTTGTGTGCTAGTTTTGGCCTCGGTGGGTTTGTTCCTGGTGGAATCTTTGTCGGTCATTACAGTGACATTGATGCCGAGTGGATCCAAGAATTGTGAAATATTGGAAAGATTGTCCTCGACTATTTTCAACAATTGCGAAAAACTGTGCCTGGTCGCCTCCTGTGAGTCTTCCGTTGCCTCGGTAGCAGCCTCAGCGGATGGGTCCCTGTGCTGCTCCTTGGATCGCTTCTGCTCATGACTCTCATCTGATGGAGCAGCACATATGTCTATTACAAAATCCGCCAATGAGTTTATAATGGATGGTTCAAAAGAGCCAACTTTACCGCTTGTCATGTTGAACATTGGACAGCCGCCTCGCTTACTACTGCTCCTGTGCGGGCACCTGCGCTCGTCGTCCTTGTGCTGTGCCGTCTTCTTCAAGAATTTCCGCATGTTATGAGCAAGTCGGCGACCATCACGACTCGACCAGTTAATTGGCTGTGTCATACGAATCAGATAGTGGTCGTGATGATTGCCCAGCGTCATGCATTCATTGCATAAATCGTAATCCGAACATTGCATGCACTTGAAGCGGAAACCATGTATGTTTTTCTCACACACATCACATATTACACCAGGATGTAATATTTTTTCTATATTTGGTATGTTTATCCCTCTAGTATCTCGGTCCCCATTGTGATGCATTGTAATGTACAGTTTATAGATGTTATTTTTAGCCATCTCCTCCAATGCAATCTCTAGCTCTTCATTAGTTGATATTGTAATGGACTCGTCTTCATCATCTAAGTATAAAAGGTGATTTAAACAGATGGTTTTAGTCGATTGAGAAGAACATATGTAGCATTTTAATTTCTATTTAGTATATAAAGCTTCTTATATTAATCGTATTACGATAAATTAATTTTTTTATAATGTTACGTTAATTATATAGCACTTTCTCTTACCACTATTAAGTATATATGATCCATTTAATAAACAGGAGAGAAATCAAAATTGATATATTATTTAAACATTGTAAAAACAATTCTCTATTTTAAACTTTACATAATTTTTTAGTCATTTATTTATAGTTATAATACTATTAGTACTATTAGCTTGTACTATTAGTACTATTGTACTATTAAATATTTTTAATACTTTGTATTTATAAAAGATAATATTATTAAAAGAGTATAGAGATAATAAAAGTAGAGTATAGAGATAATAAGAGTAGAGATAATAGTTCGGAGAATTAATTGCTTATCTTTCCTTCGCGACACACAGTTGGTAAACATCAGGTCAACAGCTAGCATTACTAAATCTTTTTTTTTTGCATGCCATCAAGACGAAAGAAAGACAAGGGAAATAGTTACCTCTCCAAGTAACGGTGAAGTTCTTTCCTCGCAGATCCGGAAAAATGCTTTGCAGTTTTTCGCGCAGATATACGAAATTCATCGCAACGTCAGCGTCGATGCCAAATCTGCGCGTTTCCGTGGGTTCCCATATTTTGTCCTCGTCCAAGAGATACGCTTTGTAGCTTAACGTGGCCATCGTCGTATCTCGTTCTCACTACGTTCACGAATCTCGTCAAACGTCAAAAATTTCTCCCGAGAAGAGAAAGAATGTCGCGATATGACGAAATATCTACACTTGTTGCTGTCGATACGACGTCGTCGAAGCTTGCTTGTCGTTTGTCGAAGCGATGCCGACGCAGTTGGCTTTTATACGCGATCGATAATCCACTTATTGTTCATCATGTGGACGCGTCACGACATCGTCACTTCCGGCATCTCGCGTATTTTACGTTATTTTCGATTCTTGCGTCATTATTTCTCGCTGTTTTTTTGACCTTATTTGACGATAAAGTCGAAATAATGTCGATGGGAAAACTTTTGCCGCAATACACGACGATTCCGAGACGAGAGAGCGATTTATCTCTTGATAATTTAAACGGAGGAAGTCTATGCTCGCGGCGCCATTTTTGAATGAGATTGCCTATTTTGACAGATCGCCACGTGACCGTATAGCGTACATGATGATTCACGATGTAGTGATAGTATCGTTTTGAACATTTGCACGATGTATGCAGTTGCATCATAACGCAATGTAATGTACACGATTTCTAAAAGCTGGTTTCTTGCACGATTGAAATATTAATATTAAATATTCTTAATAAATTATTATTAAAAAAAGCCGCGGAAGTATTTCCTATGATTTAAATAAATATATGTATTCGGGAAAAAAATCCATATATAATTA